AGTGCTGAGTCTTTCTTTTTTCTTTCTTTTAAGAATATCACTCCAGGTAAGGTGAGAGTGGCACTAGCACACAAGGAGTTACAGAGAGTGAAAGTAGGAGTAAAGATGCGTGTTTGAGGAAGGAATAAACAAACGGACGGGGATCAAGATCAAGGCATAAGAAGATGATTGAGATTACATTTGAATATTTGAAGATTATACCTATCAGGGAAGCAAGTAAGAGGAAGGGAGTTTCACTGACGGGAAGTGCGAGATCTAAACTGTTGTAGTAGAAGAGACGGTTACATTTCGACAGTAAAAGGGTGGAACCGAGATGCCAACTTAGTAGCACGCTTAAATTTATGCAGTTTGGGAACTAGTGAAAGTAGCTCGTTAGAGCAGTTGCTATGAAAATACCTTTAGAAAAGACAGAGGGAAGCAACAGCACGTCTGTTAGTGTAGATGAGATGCCAGGTCAGGACATATCAATTTGCATATCCGTCCCTGGATTTTGTCGAGAACCTCGAGATGAACAGCGAGGGCACCAGACCATATATTGCAGCAGAATTTCATGCAAGGACGAGTGACAGATTTTTTGATTTGAAGAATGGTCTCAGGCGCGAAAAACCTTCTGGTGTGACAGAGAGAACCATCTTTCCTTGCGGTAGATGAAGCTATTGATTCAATGTATTTGTTCCATCTCAGGTCAGTGGATAGCGTGAGACCAAGCAGGAGCAGAGAGGCGCTCTCGTGGAGTTGGGCATCAGCCGTTCTGATGGAAGGCAGGGAGGGTGTTTCATGGTGAGGAAGCGAGAGCAGTTTCGTTTTGGAAGCATTAAATTTTACAAGCCATTTCCTATCCCAATCAACCACAAATTGGGGTCCTTTTCGAGACCTACGACTAGGTTAGTTTTATCACCAATGCTGGATTTACTATTGGAGCAGCAGTAAATAATAGTCTCGCCTGCATCTACTTAGGAACTGATGAAATCATGAAGGTCGTTGATGAGGATCAGAAATAGTGTAGGACCCAGGATAGAGCTTTGGGAAACACCAGCGTTCGTATGAAAATAACTGGAGGAGAACCAGTTTAGGACGACCTTCATTTCACGGTTTGGCAGGAATGATTGGATTAAGTCAAATAATCGTCTTGTAATGCCGTATCCCTGAAGCTTACGAAGAAGGACGGCATGCCAAACCCTGTCAAACGCTTTAGAGATATCTAGAGCCATGGCTCAAGGTTCTCAGTTATTGTCAAGTGCTTGGTATACAAATTCAGTTACGGCCGTGAGCACGTCAGCAATAGACCGGGCAAAGCGGAAACCATATTGCTTATGAGAGAGAAGGTCATGGGATGTAAGGTGCTTAACCGCTTCGGCGTTGATTAAAGTCTCGAAGACTTTACCGAAGAGTGGTAGTTAGATGCGTTAGAACGATCTCCAGGGACAACAGATGAGGATTTCCAAGAAGCTGAAAATCAGGAGTCGGTAAGGCAATAATTATGTATTCTGGAGAGGACTAGAGCCAGTTCAGAAGAATATTTATTCAGGACAACGGCTGGTATCCCGTTCCCGTTACTAGCCTTCTGGGAGTCTAATTTAGATGGAGTCATGTTCATCTCACTCAATAGAACCTCGGTTCTAGGGGGAAATCAAGCGTGGCTACTTTGGATGAGTCAAGCATTGAATTGAATGGGAATTTTTCGAGCAAAGCATTCAGCCTTATCAGCTGACGAAGTCAAGATCTCAAATTGATTAAATAGAGGAGGTATTGTGGATTAGCTGTTGTTCAGCGCGCTCTTGCAATAATCTTTAGAACCAAACATTCGAGATGCCACCCGTTGTTTCATTCTTTCAGCAAATAGTATCTTTGCTTCATTGAGGAGAAGATTGTACTCATTATGGGCAGAGACAAAGAGACATCTGTTGTAATCAAACATTTCGCTTCGGTACAGACGGAAGAAGTGATTCCTCTGGGCTATAGAAACTGAGCAAACAGCTGAGAACCAAATGAAATGAGCGCGATTTAACTTTATATTTTCTTGTAGGGATGAAAGCATTGTCTCCAGTTTTTACCAAGGAGGAGACATCAGACGCACATTTTTCAACGAGGAGATTAAAAATCAGATTCCAGGGAACATAGCAAAGGAAATCACGGAACGAGTCCCAGTCTGCTCGTTGATAACAGAAAGATATTTTGTTAGTAGAAGGTTCTGGGCAGGAGTAGGAAGAGATGTTAAAAGGCACTACGGCATGATCAGAGTTGCCAAGAGGGCAGAGCTGCGTGGCACGACAAGAGTCAGAGATGGAGGTAAAACAGAGATCGAGAAGGAAAGCATTACCATCAGGGTTACTGGGGAAACGCGTAGGAAAAATCAAACACTTGTGTGAGGGGGTGTGTGATTGAAAAGTTAAGGGTTTGTATGCTAGCGAGGTCAGTCACAGATTGTTTAAGCCACATGGTATGGTGGGCGTTAAAGTCACCGAACACGAATATATGTGCAAACGGATGTAGAGAGATGGCCTTGTCTATATTATCGGAAATGCTATCGAGTACACAACAGTCTTGGGAGGATGGAGAACGATATGAAAGAAGAGATAGCTTACAGAATTGAGGAGAGATAGACGAGGAAACATATATGAATGGCCTGGAGAGAGTTCCCTAGCCAGCGGGAGATGGTCCTGGGTATAAACTCCCAGGCCATGCATGTGGATTTTAGTCCTTTCTAAGAAGAGGAAGGTAACTGGGAATCGAGAAATCAGAGAAGGGGATTGACGAGTTAAGGTTGGTCTCGCAGAGAGCTAGTATGTCAGGAGACTTTTCAACGAGGGACGATTCCACACTGCAGAAGTTGATACGAATTCCATGGATGTTTAAGAAGGAAATGTTAAAGGGTTTAAGTGATTTTTTAGAGCTGGTTCAGGTTTATTTTTATGATGGTTTATGGTCATGTTGAGTTATGTTGGTAATGAAAAGGCCCAAAGTAATAGTAACAGAAGATCACCGTATGTAACATGGACAGAAAGGATACATAACTGATACATAACGTGGCCTCAGGGTTGCCCACCGGAGGTGCGTGCAGGGACACCCTTACATGCACGGCATGGCACTATATATATATATACCCTGATATTGTGTAACTGTTATTCAGAGCAGCCGCTCAAGACGCTACGCAAGAGTTAGTACTCTAAATATCAGTGGGAAATAGCAACCAGTTTACTGCCAACCCGGCGTGAAGAGGCGTTGCCACAGACCGCACACATCACAAGGGATTCACGACAGTACTAGTACGGAGGCCGGAGAAAAGGAAAAGAACCAGGAAAGTCTTCCTAAAGAGGAATCAAGAGATGAGCTTCTATACATGTTCAAGAGAAGTGGAAGGAGTATTGACCAGGCGATAGGTATGCCTATCTAGTCCTATTACACACAAAAGAAAAATCAACAAAGTTCATGAACAACGTGCATGGCACTCAGAGCTGAAACCAAAATATAAAGTTTCAACTCAGTTTAAGTGCCAATATGCACTTCTTGTTGAATACGAACGTTCCTCGTCCGTGAGCCTGGAAATTCAAAAACAAGGAATTGGTAAATAAAATTAGGAGTAAAATTCAGGTACATACAAAGACATAGCCAACTACATTTTTTATCCAGTGAGGTTTCTTCGGCGAAAGTGAAGCAATCCTCGTCCGTGAACCTGGAAATTCACATACCGTCTATTATTTGCATGATTCAACAGAAAAAATTTCAAAGAACTAATATTCAAAGTTTTCAAAAAGGGGAAGTTTAAATTCACTTCAATTTAAAAAAATGAAGAAAAAAGAATTCATAAAGACTTAGTACCAACAAAAAAGAATAGGTAAATAAAATTAGGAGTAAAATTCAAACAGATACATACAGACAGGCAACGACATTTTTTAACCCAACGAGGTTTCTTGGGCGAAAGTAATGTCCACTATTTCAGTATCTCTATCTAAATATATGTATGCATGTACGTATGCATGTATAAATGTATATATGGATTACAATTTGTCTTTACGCTACAAAGACAAATTCAAAGACAACTTGAAACGTCTCAAATTTGATCTAAAAACCTGAGAAGCCCAAGCATCAAAATGAAAGGAGTAACGTAAGACATGTTTCATTAGTCTAAAGGGTTTTGAAAACAGTAGACTGAAGCACTGTAATCAGCTTTGTCAAGCTCTGAAGCAGAGACACCATCAAAATCCTGATTTAACAAATTTCATCTGTCAGTTGGCTAGTATCACACTTAAGAAAGCACAAATATTTCTTTCCCTTACTTGATTTTTTCCATAAAAGCCCCTTATAGTATGTATAAGTGTAAAACGAAAGGCACCATCCAATGCTGACCCTCATTTTCGGTTCACGATAGGAGAGTCCACCATGTATGTATGTAAGTATAGATAACTAGATAGATCGATAGATAGATAATATGTGTATTCTTTTTAATCTTTATAAAATAAACGGTGATTATGGCAATTTGCTAATTTTTCTGCAATGGACTCTGCTGATGACGTTGTGAGAATAGAATTTTTTATTTCATAATTTGTTATAAAAACGACATTTTTATTATATGTCCGGAGATTAGTTTTATATCATGTATAAATTGATAGTTGTTTTGCAATTGCTTTGTAGCTCTAAAATTCACAAATGTTGAAATATTCCCCACCCCCGCGCAATTTTTTCACGACACATCAATGTGTGAGAGACCAGCTGTCCCCTAATGGAAAGGCTGTTTTTCTGAAGACAGACTATGAAATAAGGCATGGCTGATTATTTCCTTGTGGAAATGGTGCTCGACATCCTCTGATATTAGAGAGTGAAGAACATAAGGCGACAGTAAGAATCAGTGCCCATGGACAGGCAGAGAATGCATAGATCAATTTTTTTCCCTCAGGTAAATTCTCGAACAACGATGGGCTTATCAGCAATCTACCGTCGTTTGCTTCATTGATTTCACCGCAGCATTCGACTCGGTGGATCGCAGAAGCATCTAGGACATCATGCGTCCTGATGGCTTCCCGTCCAAGCTTCTCAACCTCATCAAGGCCTACTACGCTCACACTCGAACTAAAGTGAGGTGCTACGAGGAAGAATCAGATTCCTTTGTCGTCCGAACGGGCGTCCGCCAAGGATGTGTGCTCTCCCTCATCCTGTTCAACTACATTATTGACTGGATCCTGGAGAATAGCATAGTTGGCCTCGCGGGTGTCAGAGTTTGCCACGATTGCTCCATCCCCGATCTCGATTATGCCGACGACGTTGCAATCCTTAGCAAGTTCAACGCGGAGGTCCAGCATGCACTCGACGAGGTCAGTCGCATGGCCAAAATGGTGGGGATGAAAATTAACGCTTCCAAGACGAAAATTCTCTCTGCGAACTACCCCCTACCTGATCGAGTGGCTGTAACCCTCTATGGTGAAGCTGCGGAAGAGGTCAAAAGCTTCAAATATTTTGGCGCCAATTTTACATTACTGGTCAAGCGAAGGACGAAATCACCACCCGTATAAATTTGGCTAGAGCAGCCTTTGTCCGTCTTCAAAAACGTCTTTGGTCTCGCCAGGAGATAAGACAATCCACGAAGTTGCGAATCTACGAAGCTATGGTCAGAACAATTCTTCTCTATGGTTGTGAGACCTGGCCACTGCGCAGAGGGGATCATCATAAGCTTGAGGTCTTCGATTACTACTGCCTCTGCCGGATCCTGTGCGTGCGCCTTTTCGACCGGATCCCCAACTTGTCCATCAAACTCTGCTTAACAGGAGACTCCGGTGGTTCGGCCACGTGCTGCGGCGGCCTGTTGATGAGTTTGTCCGTAAACTGGTGGCGCCAAACGCACCCACTGGTTGGAGGAAGTGCCGGGGTGGTCAACTCAAGAGGTGGCTCGCAATGGTCAAAGCAGATATGGAACTCATGTCCGGTCCTTGCGTTTCGGGGTCCGACGCTGGAATCGCGAATGGCTCGATCATGCCGTCGATTCTGCTACCGATCGACGGGGGTGGATGGACTTGACGCGCGATGCTGTTAATTCAATTGGAGCCGGCTCAACCCACCCCGGGTGAATGCCGTTACTAGACAAGAAGGCACACATGTCACAAATCGTCTACGCCACAATCCTTTTCATAGAGTATAAAATAATACATATTCAATCAACAATTAGAAGAGTTTTGTAACATTAAAAACAAGAGTTAATTAAAACAAAATGGCTTGGCTTAAAATAACCACTATTTTTGTCAATAACGATGCGAATATAAAATTTATCTCTTTGTTAAAAAAAGGGGAAAGAATAAAAATGGCAAGAAATACGAAATATGAGAAAAATTTTAGCGCAGACACATAACGCGTAAACTCAACTGGTAATCTTCAGTTATTCATACGATGTCATTGCCTCGGGAAAGATTATCTGTGAGAAGAAAGCATAGTGAACAAATTGAAAACACAACGGACATTCTTTGAAAATCTTAACGAACCTTTAATACTCAGAATAGAAAAAAGTATATATATATATATATATATATATATATATATATATATATATATATATATATATACTTCGTTGTTGTTTTACGCATTTCCTATGAAAATAGTAAAAAAAAAATCATTTCTTCATTTTTGGCAGATTTAAGATATTTTTATTTCAATTTTTATTCGCGACCATTGTATCTTTTTTTTTTTTTTTTTTTTTTTTTTTCATTGAGAAATACTATAGATTGCATTAGTGGGCAATGCAGTAGCTTGTTAGTAAAAATGAAGACTATTACGAATGGAACAGATATATATTTGCGTTATTTTATACTCGTTACATGGTCGAACTGGAAGGATGCATGGTAATTTAGTGGAATTGGAAGTAAGCAAATGTAATTCGAATTCCGGATGATGCTTCTTATATTCCCTTGTTATTTTTGAATAGTGTCGAGAAGATCTGTAATACATTATTACTCTTTCAGCCATTGCTAGATAATCTGACAATCTCCGACATTAGAAAGTGGGTAGGTGAATATTTGCGCAAAGACCTTCTGCCGCCGAGACAGTGATAACAGTAAAACGGTGACTAGTGCCAATTTTACAGTCGAATAGCCTGAGATTATTTACTTTTTTGATAAATATACATTACACATATACGGTGAGCAGATTTTGCCTGGTGTCGCCATCAAACCATAGCTTTGTCTAGTCGGGCACAAGACAACACATGTGACGAAGGTGTAATAAATTGTTTTTGAAACTAGCTTATTAATCACTACCCTTAAGCCAGGTTTCACATTATATATTATTGTTATTTCGAACATTTATTTTAATCTGATACAAATCAGACGTTGGAGTTCAAATAAGAATTGCATTAACTGCTCTAGTTTTTCCTAAAGTTATTCTCCTGCCAGTTTGCTTTTAATCAATGTTTATTTTAAATTAAATACTGAACCCTTAAATCAAATATTGAACCATTAAATCAAATACTGGAACATTAAAGCAAATACTGAACAATTAAATCAAATATTGAGCCATTAAAACAAATACAAAACCATCAAATCAAATATTGAACCATAAAATTAACGACTAAACAATTAAATCAAATACTAAACGATTAAATCATATATTGAGCCATTAAATCACATACTGAACCATTAAATCAAATAGTGAACCATTAAATCAAATATTGAATCATTAAATCAAATACTAAACCATTAAATCAAATATTGAATCATTAAATCAAATACTAAACCATTAAATCAAATATTGAATCATTAAATCAAATACTAAACCATTAAATCAAATATTGAACCATTAAATCAAATACAAACCAATTAAATCAAATACTAAACAATTAAATCAAATATTGAACCATTAAAGCAAATTATAAACCATTAAAGCAAATACTGAACCATTAAATCAAAAATTGAACTCGTAAAACAAATACTGAACCTTTAATTAAATATTGAACCATTAACTCAAATATTGACTCATTAAATCAAATATCGAACCATTAAATCAATCCCATAACATCTAAATCAAATACTGAATCATTAAATCAAATACTAAAGTATTAAAGGAAATATTGAACCATTGAATCAAATATTAAACCATTAAATCAAATGCTGAACCATTAAATCAAATATTGAACCATTAAATCAAATATTGAACCATTAAATTAAATACTGAAATTTTCATTTACTAGTACTGGTTTAGTATGAATTAAATTTGTTAGATACCCACTGTAAATAGAATAATTACTTATTTTCGATATAAATATATACTATACTGTGTTGAGAACGCAAAAATAAATCCTCTTAATATTTTTTAAGTGTAACTACAAATGAAAACCAGAAACCAAAAGTTGTGTATGCTCAATGAGGATCGAAATTAGACCAATTACATTTACAGTGACTAGAGATTTAAACTTGTTCTTATTGGTTGTGTATAAATTTCAAGTGTTAAAAAGGACAACAGAATTTCTTTTTTATATGGAATACCAACTTTCAAACAAAATCTGACGCTGAAAAGATGTTGCCTAAATAATTGCTTTTTATATCTACCGCTTCTTGGATAACAGACTTCATCCTAGATTCCTCCTCCTCCTATACCCATATGAAAATCCATCATTCTTGTTATGAGGTTTACAGAAAACTCAAGACAAATAATTAAACACTGTAACCACATATGCATTTCACAAACAATAAATTAAACAACTAAATCAATTTCTTTAACCGCCATGGGTATGAAGATAAACTACGTCCGTCATGAAGGTCTCTGATCGGGAGATCGGAGGTTTTGAAGGTCGTGGAATAAACTCTTATCTGTTGTTGTTCCCACGACCCCCACCTCCGACTCCGTGTGGTTGAACGTGTTATGATCTCAGCTACAGACAAATCGTGAACCCCCAAACAAAAATCAACAGTAAATTTTTATAGTAAAATGACCAACAATAAATATTTATAGTAAATTTACCAGCGGTACTTTTTTTTATAAAATTTATCAACAATCCAATTAAATCAAATATTGAATCATTAAATCAAATAGTGAAACATTAAATCAAATATTAAATCATTAAATCAAACACTAAACCATTAGCTAAAATAATGAACCATTAAATCAAATACTAAGCCATTAAATCAAAAACATACTATTAAAACAAATATTGAACGATGAAATCAAATACTGAACTATTAAAACAAATATTGAACTATTAAATCAAATAATATGTAATAAATATTACCCGTAAAAAATTCAAAAGAACTAATTACCAACAAGACATTTTATCATCTACAACTATATATATATATATATATATATATATATATATATATATATATATATATATATATACGTTTTGCCCTGAAAGTATAAAATTAGGTACAAAGTATTTAGATTTTGGCTTTGAATAACACATAGAGGTGTTGATATGCCGCTAAATAAAATCAATCAATCAAATCAATTTATTTATCTTGTTTAGCGGCATAAAAGGTTAAAATTACACATTTTAATGAGAGATGGATGCATTTAATGCAGAAATATGCGCTTCTCAAAATCAGGTTGGAAATCAGCGAGAAGAAAACTGAGATCGGTGTCTTCAATAATTTCCAGTCTGTTTCTTTGCTTGGAAAGAAGCAGAGCATTTAGTTTGAAACTCCAGCTCGAAGAAATAGGATGTAAGAAAGAAACAAAATATTATTTGGTTCTAATGTTCCCTCCCACTTCGTACCCTCCACTATTATTCTAACCCCCGCCATTTTGTCCTCCTGCAACCCTGGAACTTTTCACCTCTTCTAGAGTCAGGAGCGTGCCACCCAATTTGAGAATTCGAGAATTAGACTTAAATAAAGTTTTTAAGAATCGTCGATTTAATAGCTATTGAATCGTCTTTTTCTGTATAGTTATTTAAGGGTTTAATTTCACCAGAAATAAAAGCACAGTGACAATAGATAATAGCTAACAAATGTGTGAATTGATAGCTAATCATCATGCTACTCTAATATAACATTTTGTTTTGTTTTTAGAAAGGGTACCTTAGCCTGGTACAAAGTAAGAAAAACTCCGAAACATAAAAGAGACGTAAGGACTTCCGATGAGAGCAGAGATCGAAAATTTATCAATTTTTTTTTTTTTTTTTTTTTTTACATTAATTACATTTTAATGTCCTTTCAAGATGTGGATGATCACGATACATCACAGAATCCGTTTCTTTCTTATCTGTAAGTTGTCATAACAGAAAGACAAAAGACTGCTTTTTTTATTCCTTTTGCACACTTTGGAGTTTCGAAGCTAGAGAGCTCAGGCTACACTGCTATTTAAACCAGAGACCATAGACAGTTCGGATAAACCCAAAATGAAATTAATCTATAAAAATTATCTCAACATATATATTTCAATACGTTAATGATATTAAGTGAAACTTTGATTAAATGAAAATGAAAAAGACAAACAAAAAAAGTATTTCTCGAATTAATTGCCAATTTGTACGAGTTCGTGGTAGCCTCTTATATATTTTATTGCAGCTAGACAATTGTTACACTTTAGA